CAAGTTGTTTATCTTTACATTATTGTCACTGTATAAATTGTTCTCTTAGTTCTTCTCACTTTACTGCATCAGGTTTCTCTGAAACCATCCCCTTTATCATTTCTTACAGCACAACAGTATTTCATCACATTTATATGCTATAATTTGTCCAGCCATTCCCCAGTTAATGGGTACAACCTCAGCTTCAAATTATTTGCCACTGAAAAAAAGAGTTATGCATCTTTTTGTACATTCTTATTCAGAGTGTTTTAATCCCTCCGTTAATGTACCCTCTCTCTACTTTCCCACTCTCCTCATTCCTTTCTCTTTCCCTATGGAGTAAAATGTATTTTTGTACCCAATTTTGTGTGTATTCTTTGCTTCTTTGACCAGTTTGGATGAGGATAAGGTTCAAGTGTCAGCCCCTTCCTTTACCCGTCCTCTCCTTGTTCATATAGACTTCTACTCGAGCAGCCTGATTACGTGAGACAGATTTCTCTAACCTTTCTCTCCCTTTTCTCCCCTAATGTATTCTTCCTTTCTATTTAAGATCAAGATATAACAGAACTACTCCCATGCCTCCTGTCTAATTAGAGTCACTCTATAAATCCAGACGTCAGAGGTAACACTTATATCACCTCCTTATGTTAGAATGTAATTAGTTTATCCTGGTCAAGTTCATTATGAATTTTCATACTTATCTTCTTATGTTTCTCTTGACTGCTGTGTTTGCACTTCAAAGTTTCTCTGTAGCTCTGTTCTTCTCATTAGGAATGCTTGAAAGTCTTCAATTTCATTAAAGATCCATTTTCCCCCTGGTGGCATTATACTCAGTTTTGCTGGTTAGTTATTCTTAGCTATAGGCCTATATTCTTTACCTTCCGGAGTACCATATTCTAAGATGCTAAACTGTTTGTGATCCTGATTGTGGTTACTCAGTACCTGAATTTTTGCCTTCTGGCTGCTTGCAGTATTTATTCTTTGACTCAGAAGCTCTGGACTTTGGCTATAATATTCCTGGGAGTTTTCATTTTGGGGCTTCTTTCAGGTGGTGATCAGTGGATTCTATTTCCACTTTGCTCTCTGGTTCTGAGACAGCTGAGCAATTTTTTTAAGATTTCTTGAAATAAGATGTTTAAGTTTTTTTATAGTCATAGCATTCAGGTGATTTTTACAATTCTTAACTTATTTTCTCCTCAATCTATTTTCTAGGTCAGTTGTTTTTGTTAAAAGATAACTTCTAACTGTCCATGGGGAAACTATTTCTCCTTTATGAGTCACATACTCCTCATGTGTAAAATTGGGATAATAACACTTATCTTATTCGGTTATGAGGATACTATGAAATAATGGGTGTGAAAGAACTTGGCATATAAAAAAATAAAATAAAATAAAAGACGAGTTTACAAAAAAAGGTAACTTGCATTTTCTTCTATTTTTTTTTTCAGTCTTTTGACTTCGTTTTACTATTTCTTCTATCTTATGCAGTCATTAGCTCCTATTTGGTTCATTCTAATTTTTAAAGCATGTGTTGCTTAGGCAAGAGTCTGTACCTCTTATTAATTCACTTTTCAATTCCTTTTTCCATAACTTTCACTTCCTTTCCAACTTTTTTCTTTAGTGCTCTCATTTCACTTATAAAAACATTTTTAAACTCTCGCTTCATCTCTTAGATTTTGTGACCAAACTGTTTTTCTCTGAAGCTTTACTTGTAGATGTTTTGGAATCATGCTTTTCTTGTTGGCTTCTGTCTTAAGCATCCCTGTCATCATAATAGCTTTTTAATGATACTTTTTTTGCTTATTCCAGCCTACTTCCTGACTTCATATTTTACTATTTTTTATTATTATCATTTTTTTCAGGGCCAAACTCTGCACATTTCTGGGGTAACAGTGGGAAGTACTTTCTTTTGTGGGGAACTGAGAGTTGCATTATTTCAGGATCAAAGGGACAGCTCAGCACTGAGACCCACAAACTTTCAGTGCTCACATTTGATCCGGGGCAAAGTCCAATCACTCCACTCCACTCCCACCTCCAGGCTGAGCTCTCAACATTTCTGACCTGGATTTTGGTTTCTGAGCAACAAGCCTATTTGGAGTTCCAGTACAATGTTGCTGGACTCAGCCACTACTACCCAGTAGGAAAGTTCCACTGGCTCAGAGAATCTGCCCTGATTATTTCACTGAAGACTGCAGACTATCCTAGAAGCTAGAACTGAGACCCTACCCTGCCTGCTACTTGCCTCAGAATTTGCTTTTCTTTAGGTATCCAACCTAGAGCCTGTGACTGTTCCTTAGCCTGGAATGCCATCTGTAGGCCCTGCCCTTAAAGGGAAGTCTACTCTGAATCTGTGACCCGAAAATTGGATAAGCAATGACAGACCTGCCAGCTGGCACCCATTTCCACACCATGCACAAATATAAGCTGCTCCGTGCTGGATCTGGAACCTCCTCTTGCCCTAGGTACAATGCCCTTCACAGTGTTAGAATACTACTCCTCAAGTTCCTGATCAAACTCTCTTTCCCGTGTCCACAGTCCTCCTATGTCTATCTCTACATGTCAACACTGGCTGGAAAAAAGACTCAGTGTGATTTTTTTTTTCTCAGATTTTCCAATTAGGATTTGGTCAGGTGCATTTTCTAGATGTGTTTGTAGATGGTTTCCTTGGGAGGGGGACAGGCGGGGATGGGAAGGAGGGGTTGTACCTGTTCTTGCTAGTCTGCCATCTTTACTCTGTCTTTTTTCCTCTTGTTTTCACTCATTCAGATTCTAGATCTAACAAGTCAGAGGTCTAATTATAGACAAGAAGGTGGCTCAATGATAACTACCACATCAATAACAATTTTTTTCTTGTTTGTTAAAATGTAGTCTATTTCATCTTCCATAATGTTATTTGGTGCTCATCATGTTATATCTAGCACCCAACAACTCTTTTCTCAAAAAAAGTGTTCATGATGTAAAAGTGTGTAATCTTCAGTGTAATCTATTAGAAAGACTGATTCAGGAAGAAGAAATAAAACTGACCAAAACCTTGTAGATTACACTGAAAATAAGTGTGTCTTTTAAAAATTATTGTTACATTTTTCAAATGAGCTTTGGAGAATATTCATTCTGATTTTAATGTATTAGATAATACAGCATAATAATAAATAATATATTCAAAGGAAAAATAAGCTAGCATATTTTAAAATACAAAAAATATCAGGTCACAGAAGTTTCTATTTATCAGTAACTGACATGTTAACACATTAAAAGTAAAAACCTGAATGACCACATAAACAGCATTTCCAAAGTTCTTAGTATATAGCTGAATAACAAAAAATCCTTAAAGCCTAGATTATAAATTCTATAGTTGGTGCAGTGACAGAGTACTGGGCCTGGTGTCAGGAAGACCTGGGTTTAAATCCAAATTCAGACACTTACTAGCTGTCACTTAACATCTGCCTGCCTCAGTTTCCTCATCTGTGAAATAGGAATAGAAATAGCACCTCCCTCCCAGGGTTACTGTGGGGAATAAATGAGATAATATTTTTTAAACACTTAATACAGTGCCTGGGACACAGTAGGTGTTATATAAATGCTAGTTATCATCATTATTGTTATTATTACTGCTGTTATTACTTCAGTTTTTATGTTCCAACAAGATGCTGCCATATTTCTGACTAAGCTTAAGAACGAAACATGCTAGCAAAATCTCAACAATACAATGTCTTATTAAAACCTGGAAGATGAATGAGGAAATTAGTAAAAAATACAAATTAAGTTTCATCATCAGAGGTTGCACTGATTTAAAAGCCTTTACCATTTAAGAGTTGTTTAATGGCCCAGTAAATAATGATACAGTTCTGAATCATAGGCCTTAGGTGCCCAATCTAATAAGAAAACATGCTAATATGAAAACTTTTACCATGTTGTTAAAAAAAAAAGCTTTGTTCAAAAAGCTGATGTTATTGGTATAATTAATATCTTGTTTTGTGTGTGGTTGTGTGGTTTGTCCTTTTTTCTCGAAGGACCATGACATCAAGGAGATGATGACATGACTTGCAAATGACTTTGATCTGAGGGAGGGAGGGCTGTGCAAGGTCACCAGCCTCTCCTCCAGAGTCACCTGGGTCCAGCGGCCAGATATTCATCAGGACAACTGGAGATGACTCAGGATGCAATGGAAGACCCTGGCCCTTTTAAGCCAAGGTCTTTCAAGTTCTCACTCTGAGCAAGTAACAGTCATTCATTGAATAGGCCTCTTCAAGAAGTGAGTCAAGTGATGGCCCCTTTAATAATAAAAAAAAAAAATCAAACTGGGATGGGAAGACCCTCAGGGCTGCTGGCCAAAAGAGAAACAGTTACTATTTGCATTCACTCTGAGCCAGGAGGGCCCAAAAAATAGCCATTAAGTGGTGTTTGGGCAGGGACCTATGGTTGTCCAATCTATGAGCTCCAGAGTGAACTGCATGTAAGGCTTGGTCTTTGAGAAAGAAATCTAGTCAGTAAACCCCAAGTTAACCAGGCAGCTTTCAGCCATCAAAATTTACCTTTCTTGGGGCAGAACACCCTCAGGTGGTTTGCTTCAGGTTAATATCTATAAAATACTAGTAAACCCATAAAATATTAGTATCTATACCTTATTAGTGTATTCATTGGATCAAATTCTTTAATCATGATCACAGAAGAATGATGTAGTATAATAAATCTGAGGTGTCACATTGATTAAGACACTGTTTTATAAAACAATGAGTAGGATAATACAATTGTTCGACAAGCAGATGCTAACAACCATATTCCTTAATAACAGCTCTAGAAGAGACTAAAGAACACATAGATAAGTAAGTAGAGTTCTAAGTTCTCATCTCTTAAAAAAAGGCATAAAATTTTACTTTTCACATAAAAATAAATAACACTACATACATATCTAAGTCTGGACTGGTCAAACCACTTTGACAAATTCAACTCAACAAACACTTATTCAGTATTTATTAAGTACCAGACACTGGAGTATCAAGAAAAAGGAAGGCTTTCCTTACCTCATATTCCATACAAGGATCTGGGGAATCATCAGTACAGTGAATAAACCTTTAAAAGAAAAGTATTTCTACTTTATTTTACTTGCTGTCACCTTATATAAACTGACATACTAAATTTATCATTTAAGAGATTAATATTTTGTTGAAATATTAATAAAATTTAATCAGAAATCTGAATGGACACAGGAATATAACTAAAAAAAAATTACCATTCTATATAAAGTACAATTTTTTAAAAAGGCAACCATATACATACATATATTATTTTTTATTATATCAATTACGCTATGATTTCCTCTGTGAGGGAAACTTACTCATTTAGTAATAATTGTAATGAGCATAAGGAGATATTTATAATGATAGTACACAGTGAATCAAAGAATCTTAAGATTTAGAAGGAACTGATAGGTCATACAATTTAAGTTCATATAGGAATGATCTCTTTAATACCTACAAAATATAGCCATTTAATCTCTGCCCCAACAAATTCTAGTGATTCAAACCTTACTACATGACAATGCACTGTATTCCATTTTAGGATAGGGGTACTACTTAGACACATCTTACTTTCTTAGAAGCATACTGACCTCCTTTCGAGACCTGTGGCCTACAACCTCATGAGTGAACAGTTGATGTGTCAACCAAAAAAAAAGAAACAGATATGATGTGGGGCTGTACAAGGAGAAGCAGAGCTTCCAGAAACAGGAAGCTGATGTCTCTCACCTCATTTGTAGTACTGTGTTTAGTTCTGGGTGTGACGGTTTAAAAAGGAAATTGACAAAAACTAGAGTGTTCAAAGGAAGGCAGCCAGGACAGTAAGGTTTTAAGTCTGTATCATATGAGGATGAGGTACAGGATAGGACAGCGACAATGGACAAAATAGATCAGCATGGAGAAGTGAAGGTTCAAGAGGAAAATGACAGTTGTCTTCAAGTATCTGAAAAGCTGACACGTGGAAGGAGGATTTTTCTCATTCCCAGAGGGCAGAATTAGAAGCAAATGGTAGAAGTTCCCATCAGGAAATTTAGGCTTGATGTCAGGAAAAAACTCATCAATAATTAGAGAGCAGCCCCCACCCAATAAGGGCTTAATAAATGTTTAATGACTATCCAAAAGTGCAAAGGGCTTCCTCAAGAAGTGGTGGGTTGCCCCTCCTTAAAGGTCTTCAAGCAGACCTTTAAGCAGTCACTTGTGAGGATTGTTGCAATGGACAGTCCTTTCACACACGGTTAAACTAAAGGGTTGCTGAGGTCACTTCCAATTCTCAAATTCAGTAATGCTGTGATTTACTGGGCTGAAGTATACTTCCCTATTACTCCCAAGTATTGGTTCTGATTCTACCTTCTGGAGTTAAAAAAAAATTTCACATTTTTGTCATGCAGCTATTATATAGCTATAAATGAGGGGGTTGGATTAATGATGCTTAAGGTCCCTTTCAGCCCTAAAGCTATGGTTCTATGAGCCTCAAAAGAGCAACCAATACTGGAATGGAAATCACTGGTCATCTGTCTCTTAAAATTAGCATTTAAATTATGGAACAGAAAGGAAAGCTACACTAACAAGAAGACAGAATAGATGATGTATTATATCATAGGCTTACAGAATCACAATCAGCAAGGTGGTACAGTGGACAGAGTTCTAGATATGGAGTCAGGAAAACCTGGGTTCAAATACTGCTTCAAGATACTTATTAGCTACATGATCCTAGGAAATTCACTTAAGTTCTATCTGCTTCAGTTTTCTCATCTGTAAAAATGGGGCTAATAGTAGCACCTACTTGCCAGGGTTATTGTTGTGAGGATCAAATGAGATAACATGTAAAGTACTTTACAAAACCTTAAGGCAATGTGTAAACGTTAGCTTGTTATCACTATTATCATAATTATTATCATTATTATAATTAATGAAAGCTGGAAAGGACCTTAGAAGTCATCTAATCCAATCTCCTCATTTTATGAATAAGGAAATTATCTACCAGAGAAGTTAAGTTACCCAACCAAGGTCACACAATATTGATATTTATTCCTTTGTTTTTACGTCCATTTGAACAAAGAATAACGTGAAAACCCATTACAAGTTAAAAAACCCAAAATCACCATACAACTTAAAGTTACAAAGGCTTACATAAATTAATTTAAAACTAAAAACAGTAGCATAAAAATAACATCTTTCACAATGTTTTGCTAACACTTTCAACAGTGATAATCACACGGAAAAGTTTAAATACCACTCAGCTATTTAGAGCACTTATCAGTAGGCATGAAGTACTTAAACCATTTTTCGATTTGATCCTATCACTATGAACCCTGTGGTTTCTTAAAGATCTGATGCAAGATGAGTTCAAGGTGCTTATAAGCTTTCCCTACAAACCTAGAAAACTTCACAAAACATCTTCAGTATAATTGTCAAAAAAAAAAAAGTTTGTTCATCCATTTGTTTACCTAAGCAATTTAGGCATTCCCTGGCAAAGGGGGAAATTATCTCCCTGTAAAAAGTCTGGGAGAAAAGCTTCCTACCTAAATGCTTCCCTCGGCACTTTCAAGGCTTGGTCTGGTAAATCAGAATTAATCAGCAAGCATTTAATAAATTCCTATTTTGTTCCAAGGCACCATGGAGAAGCAGACAGAAAGCAAGCCTTAAAGCCCAGAAGAAATGGGCTCAAGTCATGTCTCTGACACCTACTGGCCATGTGAATGTGAGCAAGAAATATAACCTTTCGGTGCTCTAAGCCTTTCTCTAAGAGGAGATGCTGGAATTCCCCACACCAAGGAAATCAGAGACCCAGTCCCTACCTATCCCTACTTCATTTCAGGCACTGTGCTAGTTGCTGTACATATAAAAGCAAACAGAAAACCATCCTTGCCCTCAAGCTTACATTGTATTGGGGGAAACAAATAGATACAAAGCAACTGTGTAAAGCAGGCTGCCTGATGAGGAAAAGTTTCACATAAAAGTGGCCAACAGAAGTATGTCTTGAAGGATACCAGGGATTCTAAGCAACAAAGGTGAGGAGGGAGCACATTGAGGCTGTGGAAGAGAAACACTGAAGGCCTGGAGATGGAAGATGACCTGCTGTACATGAGAAGCAGCAAGAACATCAGTACGGCTACTGTACGGCGAAGGATGTAAAGAAGCGTAATGTGTAATGAGGCTGGGAAGGATGTTAAACACCAATTAAAGTAAATGACAACACAAATTACAGGCTAATAAACCTCAAATTTTCAATTGTAAACAAAACTTGATAGTTTCCACAAGTCATAAGTTTCCAATAGACTATTTTAGAGCTCATAGGTTATTAGTGGTAGAAAAATCCAAGGGGAATAAAACCATATATGTAACAGGATTTTCTTAAATAAAGAACCTACCAAAATGGTTTCTGGCTCATCAAAAGAAAAATATGGGTTCTTAACAGTATTTGTACTACAACCTGGTATTTTACTGGGTAAATGTTATTTAATCCTGTTCATATTTTGTTCACAAAAAAGAAAGTCTACCAGCCTTCACAATGCTTCTAGCAGAAGATACATAAAAGATAAAATAAACTGACTTGCAAGGACAGGCGAGAAAGTGCATTATTTACTTAACATAAAAATACCGGCATAAAATGTTTTAGAATGCAATGGCAATGGGAAAAAAAAAACAATAAATCTATGTTCAACTCTTGCTAAGCAATGGTGCTCAGCTTAAGGGAAATGGACAAAATAGGAATGGTTCAATTTCTTCTCCTATAAACTAAGATTGTAAAATTCAGCTTTTAGTCTCAAAAAGGCAAGGAAAAACTTTACACACAAATTACAGCAAACTCTCAAAAACACATGTTGAAAAGAACCTGAACAGCCATCCTTGAGACTTGTTATATGGCATCTCTGCATGCAGCATTTGCAACAAATGAGCTATTTCTTCCACACTTGCCTTGATGAGCCATACTGCTCCCCAAAAAGGCTAATATCATAACTGCCTCACATTAAAAGGAAATTAAGTGGATAGCCAATGGGAAGGGGGGAAAGAAAGAAAAAGATCAATATTCTTTCCAAAAGAGAAAGTTTTTAATTTCATTTGAAGACTTCTGCCAACTTTTGACACATAAGCATAAATAATAACAAATATTCAATAGATATTTGCATTATCATTAGATAATAAGCTCCCTGCTAGAACAAACAATTGAAGGGCAAGAAATGAGAAATACTGAAGAAATCTCTAGAGCCTAGTACAATGACTTAAAGCTATTTGGTATGTAATAAACGCATGTTGAATTGAATGTAGATTTGTACATGGGGAGAAAAAGGCCAGTAAAAATAGTTTCCAAGTAAGAAATGGTTTAAACATTTGGTAGCCATAAGCAAATAATCTGTATATGATCCACTAGTTTATAAGTCTAGAAAACACTTCTTCCAAATTATAAACTCAAGGTTCTTGGCAAGATTATTGTATTTAATCTAGCCTGTTATTAACTCCAAAAAAGTAACAAAACTATGATTAGATGTTATATAATATATGTGGTGAAAGCAAATGAAAAAAGGATCTTCAGATACAAATACAGCAAACCTACAACACAATGTACTATGAATATAAAGCTTATACCACTTAATCTGTTAAAAAAGAGGACAAAAAATTGTGGGAGGCAAGAGGATAGTGTCTGTTTTCAATTTAAAAAAAACAACAAAGGACAACTTTGATGACAGTTTTTTATGAAAAACGTCAGCAGTACTAGAAATTACCCAACTAACTAGAATTTAGGGAAACAATGTATTTTGTTTATGATTTGTTGGCAACAAGACTTTACCCAAAAGCAGAAAAGAGGTACATATTATCAGTTGATACTTATTAACTACAAGGCATTTATAAATCCTTTTCTTCTTTCTTTCATTTCTACCTGACCGACTTCCCTAAAATGTTCTCTGAAATTAAGTGAGTCTAAGCCTTGTGGCTTAGACAAACAGATTACACTTTAAGAGAAGTCTCTGAAAATCATTCCCCTCAGGATCACTACTGAAATATAGTGCTAGGCACGTATATTCACTTACCACTTACATTCATTGTGCCTTCATTAGTAGGCATTAGTCATTTATTGATGATTATGATGACAACTATCAGCCTCTTCCCCAACACACCATCTTTGAGGCCCAAAGTGTCATTTGAGAAGATATCTGATTCGGGGGCAGCTAGGTGGTGCAGTGGATAAAGCACTGGCCTTGGATTCAGAAGGACCTGAGTTCAAATCCGGCCTCAGACACATAACACTTACTAGCTGTGTGACCCTGGGCAAGTCACTTAACCCCCACTGCCCAACCAAAAAGAAAAAAAAAGAGAGAAGATATCTGATTCATACTTGCAAAGTCAAATAGAATTAAATAAACATCAAAACACTGCTAGGATCCAGTTACACTGAAAATACTAACAATATTCTGTGGGCAGACATTCTGTGCTGAGAAATTTTCTTACCATATAAAAATAATTTTATAATATGTAGCATTTCACAGTCTTTCCTTAAAGAGCAGAAATTAGTACTGTGAACAGCAGTCAATCAACTGGAGTCACATCTACGACCTGGGTTCCCACATTCAATATGTCAGAATCCCACTTTTTAAATTATGTAAATCATTCAATTCTTCAATTCTGTTCTCTTCAGCTCTATTACTGGAGTAGCACTCAACTACATCAGTGCCTAATTAATATTCATGAAATATTTTAAAGATGAAAAATATTTAACTCTCATTATAGTTTTAATAAGCAACTTTTACCCAATTAATACAGAGGACCTTGGTTAGCATGTCATAACAAAGCATTATCCTTGCTACCTAATTAACAGCAAGTAATAGAATTTTGTGTACTAAAATCATAAACTATTAGTCACATTATTGATCATTTTTAATAAACATATTTTCACAGTAACATATCTTTGGAAATTAAGACAATTATTTATCAGTGAGTTTCTTTTGTTTTGTTAGTGATTACCAAGAAATAGTCCTAGAAAGGAACAAACTATACAGTAATTATAAATCATCAATAGTCCCTAGATAGTCACCCTGGCTCACTTAAGGAAAAGATTCAAAACTCAGTCCTATTTACTTGCCATAGCCAACTCCCAATCATTTATGAAGGCTGACATTCTATAGGTAAATACCCTTATAATTTATAGTTTCAAGTTTAGCAACTGATTTCACTTCCTCTTCAAAAAAGCAGAAACAAATAAATTAACCTGAACTGGCCTTTCTACCTTCTCTCTACCTCTACTGAAATAGCAATTGAAAAAATAAATTCTATTAGTCAAAAGGTAAATGAATGATACATGAAAGAACAACTGGTATACTTAATATGTTTAACACAATAACCACCCCTCAATATTGGATAATCACAAGATGACTACACTTTGTTTAGAAAGGAGGAAAGAAGGTATTACAGATAAGGAAATGGAGGCTCACAAAAAGATTAAGTGAGTTGCCTGTGGTCACACAGCTAATAAATTTCAGGGGCAGAAACTGGACCCAGGTCTTCCCTGACTGCAAGTTTAATTCTCTGTCCACATTCCAATTATAGGTCCTAAAAATGTAACAATTAAAGAACAATTCTAACATAATTCACGTAAAGGCCATCTGAAGAGTTAGATGTCACTTAAGTATTACAAAGAATTATAAAATCATGATTTTTTTTCACAGTGAACATATATTTCCCAGAATAAAAATGCTGTTTTATCAGAATTAAAACAAAAGCTATAAAATTCATAAGAAAATGATGCAAACATAAACACAATGTTAAAAGAACCAACTGTCAAAAATACATACACCCTCTGTCTTCCAGCCAAACTGACCAACTTACTGATCCCTGAACCAAGCATACTGCTTCCTTCTTCCAGGTCTCTTTGCCCTCAAGCCCACAGTTTCTCCCCCTCTTTCCTTCCAATTCCTAGATACTTTGGCTTCCTTCAAGGTTCAGCTTATGTGCCACCTCCTCTAGGAAACCTTTCATGATTCTCCTCCTCCACTTAGCACAATCTCTCTCCTCAAAGCATTTGTGCATACACTTATCTGTTTATAATGCTGTGTCCTCCCAGGAGAACATATGGTCTTTAGTGGCAGAGATTTTTTCCCACATTATCCTTGTAGCCCCAGCACCCAGAATAGTTCCTTGCACATAGCAGATACTCAATAAATGCTTTTTGGATCAGACTGAATAAATTATGAGCACTAACAGAAACAAAATCTCCTTATGATAAAATACCACAGACTATCCCAATGGTTTTGTTAACAATGGCTTTTCTTAAAATGAATATATTCCTTAAAATAAAGCGCCCAGGATGCAAGTCCCAAAGATGAAACAGAGCTGTCCAGGTTTTGTGGAGTGAATCAGCAAAAGAAATGAAGTACTTTCAAGTGAGTAGGCAGAAAATGGAGACATACACAAATCTAACTCCATGCTTCTCCCTCCCATGTGCTCCAAGATTGGGATTGTTTGGTGCTTTACCAAAATATAATTTTATTCAAGACATGGAGAGATTAAGGGGAACTAGAGAATAACTGCAATCTGAAAGCAAGACAAAAGAGCACCCCTGTACTCAACACAGCAATTCTTTCAATCGTTATAATAAAAATAAGGTAAAATCAGGCTCCTTGATTTGAGAGTGACTGTTCCATGGCGATCACAGAAAATCTTTACTATACAGGATTATTCACTGAATGTATTTGATTTAAATAAGATCAACAAAGCTTCGTTTCAAAAGGCCATCCCTGGGACATGTAATTGAATACAGGGCTGGCCTCAGATCAAGAAGACCTAGGTTCAAGTTCCATTTCTGAGTATGCGACTATTCACTATTCAGACTATATACTGAAGAGAGGATGCAGTCCTACATTAGTAGAGGTAGATGGGCAGGCAGTCAATAACCATTTTTCAAGGACTTATTGTGTGTCAAGCAAAAAGAAAGAGTTTTCTCCTGCAGAATTTCCCTACATTGGGGGCACTTCTCTGGACTTCTCTATCATGCCCCCATGCAGAGTGCCTTCCCTTCTCCCCACACATTTCACCTCCCTTCTGTGTACTGTCTTACCCCATTAGACTGTAAGCTCCTTAAGGGCAGAGATTGTCTTTTTCTCTTTCTTTGTATAACCAGTGCTTAATACAGCAACTGGCACATGATAGGAATTAAAAATGTTTACTGACTGACTTGCTGACTGACATTAATGAAATTATAAATCTAATCTGCCTCTCTCCCAATGGTACATGCAGAGAGATAGCTTTGTTATATACAGAACCTTCCTTTGTAATATGAGTACTTACTGCAATGGGACTTTACCTGTGGAATAATAAAGCATGTGTTAGAACCACAACTCTACTTACGGTTGAGTAAAGTCATGTGTAATGAAGTCAGAACTCTTGAAAAGTAGAAAGATGTCACTGAGGGTTTTACACTTCAGAGAACTATTCATTGCTATCCAGTAGGCATCCTAGATAATTAAACACATTCAATACAAATTTCTGTTAGTTGCCATAAATAAAATCAAGCCTATAATCAATCAACCCTGTATATTACTTCAAATGAAAAAAAAATTGAGATTGCTAAACTAGATAACAAATTTAGCCATCATTTCCTTAATCAATTTCAATGAGATGTATTTCTAAAGAACTTCTGAATTGCAGTAATTATCTCCAGAAGCCTTGTCCTTAAGTATTAGGATATGCTAATAAGAAGCCCTTTCTATGAGAATTACGCAAAGATGTTTTAGAGAACCTCAGCAAATGTGACCTAGGTACCTCCCAGCGTTTAACTCACTTAGGCTGTTTTTAAAAAAAAGGAAAGACATTTAAAGAACATACTCAATCCCAAGGGATCTAAGTGATCTGTGGAAGATGGGCATCAAGATCAAAGGTTCCCTCTCTCCAAAGGAGAGGGAATCTTTTACCTTCCTCTTACCCCTATGTAATAGTGGTTACAACACTTGGAGTCAGAGTTAGAGTACTTGGAATACCAGTTCCAAATGTTCTATAGAAGCAAGTGGAACATTCAAAGCTACTGAGAATGCTTCATGCGGACCTCTGAAATCTACAAACATACTTAGTGTACATGTGCAGATAAAGTAACAGAACAGACATAGAGCTAGCAAAACAAATCTATAAATGGAAAACTATTAGATTATCAAGATGCTGTACCTTAGTACATAGCAAATATTTATTTTGGAAAGGAGAATTACAAAAAATAGTCAGTTTCCAAGTATAATCAACTTTCAGTTTTCTGTCCTACCTGAAATATTACTATGGATAACTAAATAACAGATACTATGTGGAAGGGGAACTCTCTCTGCTCCCTAAAGCAAGATTCCTTAATGTAGTAAAGTTCCAACCTAGTTGAATGGGAAGGAATTATTTCTACATGGGTAAGGATTACCTACATGTAAATAAGAAATTGGCTGTGGTCAAATTCAAACCCAATTTTCATGAACTGTATTTATCTTAAGCTCTATCCTTGGTCAAAAATCTGTAAATGTTCTATTACTTAGCTTAAACTTCATTCAGTTCAAAGGAAAGAAAACTGAGATAAACTGCCAAAACGAAATCATGAACATTTCCATAAATACTGATGCTAACAGGGTTCAATACCATCAACACCCGCTGTTCCCTCCTGCCTTTCTCCAACATCACTTTTTACAAACTCGATCCCACCTCCTTCTTCTTCTTTAGGAACTTGCTCCAGGAATGGAGGACATTGTTAAGCAAGTATTCTAAGCTCTCTGGAGGCAAGGAGTTTCCCACTTTTGCATCAGTATCATGTACCAGCATAGTACGTGAGACATTATAAATGCTTGTTGCTTAACTGATAAATATTCAATCACTTTCTCTAAACTGGTTCCTTCCCATCTATCTACAAACATGTTCAGATTTCTCCAAATCTAAAAAATCTTTCATCTGATCCTTCTACCCTCCTCTATGCCCCCCAATCTTGATATCTGTGTGTGAGTGTGTGTGTGTGTGTGTGTGTGTGTGTGTGTGTGTGTGTTACCATTGTAACATCTCTCAAATATGTCCCCTTTCCCTCCTCTGAGACTGTCACTACCCTGGTACACTCCTTTATCACTTTAGACGTGGACTACTGCAACAGCCTGCTGGCTGGTTCCCCCACCTCAAGTCTCTCCCTACTCTAGTTCACTCTCCACTCAGCTGTCAAAGTGATTTTCCTAAAGTGCAAGTCTAACCATGTTACCCCCTACTCAATAAATTCTAGTGGATCCTCAGCACCTACAGGATCAAATATAAAATCTTCTGTTTGGCATTCAAAGCCCTTCGTGACCTGGCCCTCCCCTATCTTTCTAGTCTACATATATCATTCCCCCAACACCCCCCTCACACCCCGTTACACATAGACACATAGACACAGACACACAGACACACCAAGGACACTCCATCTCCTGGCTCTGGCCACTGCCACTGGCTCTCTCCCATGTATGGAATGCTCTCCCTCCTCATTTCCACCTACTGGTTTTAAAAGAGCTTCTTTCAAGCCCCAGCTGAAATACCAGCTTCTGCAGGAAGCTTTTCCTGATCCTTTTTAATTCTAGTGCCTTCCCTATGATGATTATTTCCAATTGCATATAATTTGTTTGCACATGATTGTTAACATGATGTTTTCCACTGGACTGTAAGCTCCTTGAGAGCAAGGACTAGCTTTTGCCTTTCTTTGTACCCTCGGTGCTTAGCACAGTGCAGGCATTTAACAAATGTGTTTTGACTTGATGACTGACTGATATTCCATATTTCTTGTTCTTTTAGGGGACAGATCTCTTGAAAAAAATATGTACAAGGCCTCCACTTCCTCATCTCCCACTTTCTTTTCAACTCTTTGAAATCTGGCTTCTTCTCACAACACTCTATTGAAACTTTTCTCTAAAAGGTTCCTAATGACCCCCGACTATCAAATCAAAAGGTTGGGTTTTTTTGTTTTCTTCTTCCATTACAGCATTTTCTTCAGCATTTCCTCTATTGACTTTCCTTCCTCCCCTTTTACTGGACAATCTCTTGTCACTTGGCTTCAGAAACAACCACCACTCTTGCTACCTTTTGTCTCATTCATTCACAAGATTTCAACTACCATCTCTACAGAGAGAGCTCTGATTTTGAAGTTAGGAAAAATTTCCTAACACTCATTCAATCCTTAAACTGGAATGGGATGCTTGGGAAGGTAGTGTGTTCTACTTTACTGGTCTTCAAACAAAGGTTAGATAACTTCTTTTCAAGTTTGTGGTCAGGATTCTTTTTTAGATATTGGTTGGGCTAGATGATTTTCGAGGTCTCTGCCAAAATTAAAATTCTGTGATTCTGATTCATTCCCAAATCTATATCTCTAGCTCTGACTTATTTCTTTTCTTTTTTAAAAATTTTATTTCTTTTCTTCTTCAAAAATTTTACTGGTCTTTTGTTTTTTAAACCTTTTATTTCCCCAAACCCTCCCTACTCCAACTTCTGCCCTATGGAATACTCCTTTGTCACCAAAAAAAAAAAAGACAAAATAAACTAATGCAGCAATGGAACTAATAGCATATGCAACATTTGGTATCTACTGGCTCCTCTACTGCTGTCAATGTCATCCTTGCCTCTCCCTCACTTTCATAACCAGTTATCAAAGCCCACTAATTCTTTCTCTACAATATCTCACTTCCATCACCACAGAAGGCTCATAATAATACCCACTTGGACTACTGACAAAGTCTCCTATTTCCACTTTTCCCTCCCCTCTAATCCATATACTTCACGGCACTGCCAGACTTTTTTTTATACAAAGACTTGGCTGAGTTATTCTGTTCAAAGTCTTCCGTGTCTCTCTATGGCCTATCAAGTAAACTTCAAACTCAAATTCAAGACCTTCCAGAGTCTGCCACTGCCATGCCATCTCAGTCTTCCTTCACATTACTACACATCTCAAACTATACTCCAGGCTAACTCTCTGTCCCCTGAATCTAATTTAATCCAGCAAGCACTCGGTAACAAGGGACGAGCATTAAGCATTTAGTTTGCAAGAACTTCATTAAACTCTGAGGATACAAAAACAAAATGAAAAAGAGTTCCGCTTCTAATGATGAAGATTAATGGTAGTATTCTTCTGGGGACGGGGGTATACAACATGCAAACACATAAAAATATAAATGATCACTTGAGAAGGTAGGAGAGAATATTAACAAAGGAAGATTAAGAAAAATTTTCCCATAGATTGGGACATAGGAGCTGAGCTTTTGAAGTCTTAAGAGTTGGAGTTGAGGCAGGAGTGAATTCCAGCCACAAGGGCAGCCTGTGCAAAGACCCAGAGGAGAGAGATGCCAAGTGTTTAGGGAAAAAGGAAATAAGATAGTTCGGGCTAGAACATAATGAATACGTAGTTGGAATATTTGGCAATAAGCCTGGAAAGGCTGGTAGGAAAGAGCTCAAAAGGAAATAAGTGCCCACTCTTTAGAGAATTACAAAACAAATCTTGGTCTATGACTGTAATATTATAGTATTGCACCACACGAAATAGCAAATAGGAAGAATTCAGAGAAACTTGGGAAAACTTCTATGAACTGATACAGAGCCAGGTAAATAGAGGCTGGAGAACAATTTACATAATGATCACGATATTATAAAGGAAAACAATACTGAAATAATTCAGAACTCTTGCCAATGCCGTTCACATAAAATTTTAGTCTGCCTTTAAAAAAAAAAGAAATCCATTCATGAACCTTTATTACTACATTGACAATTTAAGAGTTAAGTGTTAAGAAAACAATTTTTAAAAGCAAACTCAGTTCTAAGTCCCTCTATTTCTAAGTCCTGTGATATTTTAATTCTATTATTTTCAAGACAGAAACATTTCTCTGTATATTGAGGTGGATGGCTATGGGTTAGGGTTAGGGTTGTTTTGAAAAGGACAGAAACTACCTTTCTGAATTCCAACACAGTTTAGAAACAAAATTTGAAACTCCTTCTGGCAGGATTTTGTATCACACTCAGAACAATATAAAACCAAATAACAAAACAAAAGGAAAAAAAGAATATAAAACAGAGAAATGGCCACAAGCTTCTAGAATCAGAAAACTGATCAAACCAAAAGAACAAAAGGGGGGGATATTAAAATAAGGAATGATAAAACAACGAAAAAGAAAATCTATGCCCTTACCCTTGGTGCACTCCAGTTAAGTTTAGGAAATACACTACCCCCCAGGGAATTAATGGCTTCTTGAACTTTAATAGCAAACTCAGGAAACTCTGGTGCCTGAAGAGAAAAAAGAATAATTTTGTCATGTCATTCAGTTTATTGCACTAAATATATAAACAGTATTAAGAATAAGGTAATAACAGATATTAGAAAGAATTCAGAACACTGGAGTATCAACATTAATTAAACCAAATTAAACCAATAATTAAGATACACCCAGGAATAAGGGAAAGGAAAATATTAGAAACATTTAATAAAATACTGATAATCGAAGTCAATGTACAATATTTTATTCAAAGCAAAAATAAAACTTATTAGAAATCTCTGAGTTGAGGAAAAAAACAAACTTTGTTACTCTTAGTAAATTTGCCGGTATGTACAACCAGGATTTTTTTTTTAATGAGACATGATTTATGTAATGGTATATACGTTGCAAAGGGCTGGGAGGTAAGCTGGCCTTCAGAATGCTCAAAGCCAGTCAAATAAAATCCTATGTTTGAGAAAAAAAGTCAGCATCTTGGATAAATTCCAAAGACTTTTTAAGAATGAGTAATAAATGATGCTTTAGTATGGTATTTAAACATTGCTATTTTCAGAAGAGATTTTTATAAACAAAAATCAAAAATAGCACCTTGGTGAAAAGCTAAAATGTTCTTTGCCTATTTGATTGCTTTTAAAATGCATGTTTTACATGCTCAAGAGATTATAAAATTTCTAACAGTTCACCTCAATTAAACATGCACTTCAAACACTTTAGTTAAGAGAACTAAAGTTGACTAATGCTACTGCTACACCTTGTATTTATATTTCAGTCAGTAACAAAGGGAGCTACACGGAAATCAACTTGTGAAAAGGTAAGTAAGCCATTAAAAGAAGAAGGATGGAAGAGGGGGAGGGAAAGAGGGTGGAGAGAGAGAGAGAGAGAGAGACAGACACGTGTTTTAAGGTACAAGGTCCACAGAGACAGTGCAATAAGCTTGTTTTCAACTGCTGCCTCCTTGTGGAGAACTGTTGTTTCTGAATAAGGATCCAAGACAATTCTGAAGGACTTAGGCTGAAAAGTGCTATCCATCTCCAGAGAAAGATGGAGTCTAAAAGCAGATAAAAGTATACCTTTTTTTTACTTTATTTTCCTTGGGGATTTTTTTTGGTCTGTGTTTTATTTCACAACACAACTAATATGGAAATATGTTTGACATGACTACACACACATAACCTGCATCAAATTGCTTGCCTTCTCAAGGAAGGAAGTGGGAAGAGAGAGAGCAAGAGAATTTGTAACTCAAATTAAAAAAAAAGTGTTACAAATTGTTTTTAAGTGTAATTGAAAAAAAATTTCAAAATAATTCTCTACCAGCTATAAACATTTCTCTAATGGGCATATGATAATTATTATTTCTCATTAACTACATTACATACAAGTAATACCACAACATATAGAATTTCAAGGAACCTACAGAAAAGCAACAATAACTTTCCTTCTCCTCTGATCATAACAAACGAGAAAAGCCCAGGTCTTATGCACTGAAGGAATCTGTGGGCCTCAGGAAGGTCTAGATAAAATCACTGGTCTTGAATGCAGAGCGAAAAAGGCATTTATTAGTTCAACATCCTTATTCTACCCCACAAGATGCAGAGTAGAGTAGTGGATAGAGGAGTGGCCTCATAACCAAGACAAGCAGCTCTAAGTCCTACTTATGAGGCACATAGGTTGTATGACTCTGGCAGTCACTTAACCACTCAGCACATCTGACAGCTCTCTAGGCCTTCACTTTGCAGAGAATGTGCCAAACCTGGGAGAGAGTTTCCTCACCTGAAAATTCCCTATACCAAGGAAATCACAAATCTATCCCCTGTCCTTCATTTTACAGATAAAAGACAAGGCCCAAAGAGCGAGCAGCCCAAGTTACACAAGTGGTAATTGGCAGAACTGGGACCCTAATCTATATGTTCTTCCAACTCTTCTTGCACTATGCCTCTCACCATACCTCATCAGAATCAACAGAGCTTATCAAGCCATACAAGAAGTCAGTTACTCATGGGTTTCTAGTCATCAGGCAGCTTTTAATTACCGCTAAATATACTTCTTTCTATACCTGTGTGATGTATGTACAAGACTGGCATAAGCCAAACTGATGAGGTCTGTCAGGGCATGGGTACGTTCTCTGCCTGGGACATGCATCTACAATGTAAAAAAAAGCACCAAATACTTTACCTGTAAAATTGGACAACTATTGCCCATTTTGGTAATTTATTGTGGAGATAAATGATGATCAGAATGAACGTCTAAAAAATCTCTAGGGATAATAAAGCCCTAGGCAGAAAAATGAAAGACTGAGGGGCAGCAGTCATGTTTTCATCACTAATAATGTATTCTAGAAAAGAAAGATGGATTTGACAATTGAATTGCTGACTAAGATGATGTTCAGATTAAAGGATTTGGCTTTTTGGATTTTTCTTGGATTAAGACAAAACATAATGAGCTTATAGACAGAGACAAATTTTATCTGACAAGGACTGGAAATAATGTACCCTGGACACTTATTGCTTTAACCTAGAGTTCTTTAAATGTAAAGTGGAAGGGAAAAGAAAACCATGTCCACATGAAATTCTAAACAATGCAAATGGCTCCAATGGACTTCTAGACCCTGTAAAGAGTTACAAGCATGAGGGAAGAAAAGCAGTGATAGAATCCAGTAATTCACAGGAAAAAGTAACTAGAAAGAACAGAAACATCATGGACACTCAGACGTTTATAAGCCAATGCACAGAGTATAGTTAATCAATATTGTGAAACCAAGATCTCAAAACAAGGAAGCTTTCTTTGTATCTCTAGCACCTAGAATGGTGCCTGGCATATAGCGGGGTACTAAAAAATTAAGCCAATACAACCTTTTAGCTATCAGTGAGACCTGCAAGGATGACTGGAATATGGCAGTGGAAGAACACTATTCATGTACTGAGATTCATGCTGCTTATGTTTCCTATTTGTTTTATTTTATAGGGTGGCTCTCTAGAAGTGGGAGGGGGAAAGGATAACGGGGAAAACTATGATGACATAAAAAACATTAGACTTCAATCAAACTTTTTTTTTAAGAAAAAGAGTATTTTTTTTAAAATTATAGACAAAAGAGACTAAAACCAAAGCACCGTATGCACTGAATATGGTGATCCATGCCCATAATCCTTCATGCTGGTAGCTCATTTGAGCTCAAGAATTCTGAGGCTATAAAATCAATGGGAGTATCTGTATATTCCATACTGTATAATACCAGTATGGTAAGCCCCTGAGAGCAGAGGGCCACAAGGATGTCTAAGGAGGGTCAAACCAACTTAGGTCAAAAATGGCACATCAAAGCTTCCATGTCAATAAGCAAGAGGATCAGCCCACTCACGACCACTGCACTTTCAGCCTAAATGAGACAGAGAGACCAAGACTAAAAAACAAAAGCCAGCACCTTATGTCAAAAATATACTCCTGTTCTGTAAAAACATATAAACCTGAGGAGGAAAACACAGTAGGAACATTTGGGTAAGAACAAAAGGAAGAGGAAACAAATGGTATCAGAATGGGAATGTACTACAGATACAGTGGCCAGATGGAATGAATGAATGAGAACTCTAAATTTATGCTTCTTTAAAATAAATGAGGCCTTTCAAAGGGCTATCAAAATGTGCATACCCTTCGACCCAGCAACAGCACTCCTAGGGCTATATCCCAAAGAGATCACACAGATGGGAAAGGGACCCACATGTACAAAAATATCCATAGCAGCTCTTTTTGTGGTGGCAAAGAACTGGAAATTGAGAGGATGCCCATCAATTGGGGAATGACTGAACAAGTTGTGGTATATGAATGTAATGGAACACTATTGTGCTATAAGAAATGATGAACAGGCTGACTTCAGAAAAACCTGGAAAGACTTGTATGATCTGATGCTGAGTGAAATGAGCAGAACCAAGAGAACTTTATACACAGTAACAGCCACGTTGCATGATGACTAATATTGATAAACTTAACCCTTCTCAGCATTACAAGGATCTAAGACATCTCCAGAGGCCTCATGATGGAAAATGCTATCCACATCCAAAGAAAGAACTATGGAATTGAATCGCTATCATTTTTTTTCTCTTCTGTTGAGTCTTGTTTCCTCTTTCTGATGGTTCCTCCTATTGGTTTTAATTTTTACTTACAACACCACTAATGTGAAAATATGTTTAATAGTAATGTAAATGTATAGCCTATATCAGATTGTACGCTGTCTCGGGGAGGGTGGTGGGGAGGAAGGGGGAGAAAAATTTTAAACTGAAAAGCATAGGGAAGTGATTGTTAATAAATCAAAATAAACTAATAAAAAAAATAAATGAGGCCTCTTTTTACTGGAGAGATAGGGAACTATGGGCAAAGAATACATCACAAGTTGTCAGATGTTTGCTCTGGTGATGGGTTTTAACAATCTTTTCTTTGCTACAGTGGTGCTAAGTTCATGAATTGACTATGATATTTTTAAAAAGGCACCTATGAAACAGTTAAAAAATAAAACAAATGAGGCACCCAAAACTGACTCTAGTTGTAGCCCAAAATGGAGCAGAAGCTTGTCAGCTTGTACTCATGATTCTAAGTCACCTGTACTCATAGTTAATGGAATGTGAAAGAACCAATGTGGCACCTGGGGGGGGGGGCTTGTTTTAATCTACTACAGTAAAAGCCTCTTCATAATAACAACTGTTTTCTTTTGTCTCTATAATTCCAGCACCAAGCTCAGAGGCTAGCATATAGCAAATATATAGTAGTACAAGTAGGTTAATAAGCACTTGCTGAATTTAACACACTGTCCTCTTAGGTTGGAATAGATAATGCTAATGAAAAGCTACACATATTAAATTTCAGCAGCATCTCAATTATTATAGTTCATCCTACCCATTGTCAACCAATATTGGGTACAGTACCAGAACCACATTTATTTTGGAAAATTAAAAGTATACCCAAATATTAAGTTATTCTGCCAAAAAAAATCATGACATATTTTCACTGGCTGTGTCCCCCATGGATTGAA